ACGCTACGCGTGTGGGCCGAAAAAAAGGGCCCACTACGCTGCGCTACAGCGCTTTTTAGCGGTTTTTGGCCGCTTTTTCCGCTAAAAGCGCTGTAGCGCAGCATAGCGTAGCGAAAAACCGCTAAAAACAAGCTAACACTACAATTTTTTGAGGAAAAAAAGCGCCGCTACGCTACGCTTTTTTGGCCAAAAGCGTAGCGGCCCACCGCTGATTGAATGGTGAAGTCCAATTTCCCTAAAAATACAAGCTTCAATCTTAATACATGAGTGTACCCCGTTTCTTGCATAATTTGTAACGTATACAAATTTTATTTGAATGCAAAATGGGTACAGCCAGCAATTTTGAAACCTTTCAAAGTGTAGGAAATGAACTTTAAATTCCAAAAAATAAGGATAATTAAGCATGTAAGAATTAACTAAAAATACACGTCAAAGGCATTATTCAAGATACATTTTTTATTTTGATGCAAATTTATTGTTACCATCATTTTCAACATGTTTTAAAGTGTAGGAAAAAAATTTAAAATGTCCAAAAAATAATGAAAATTAAGCTCTTAAAAATCAATTGAAAAATATGACTAATTACAGTATTCAGAATGAACCGTTGAGTTTTAAGAAAATTGGATGTTACCATTAAATTCTACACACTTTTAAATGTAGGAAGAAACTTTAAAACTTCAAAAAATCATAAAAAATAAGGTACACACATGTATGCAAACAATTAGGTGAAAAAGTGAGGAATTAATTAAAAAAACGTGTCAAATGCAGCATTCAAGGTATAGTTTTCAACTTGGGGAAAAATGGTTGTTACCATTATTTTCTACATGTCTTAAAGTGGAGGAAATAAATTTAAAATGTCAAAAAATGATGAAAATTAAGCTGTAAGTGAAAAAATGGGTCTAATTTCAGTATTAAAAATGAACCGTTGAGTTTGAAAAAAATTGGATTGCACCATTAAATTCTAAGCATATTAAAACCTAGGAAATAAATTTAAAATTTTAAAAAAACATAAAAAATAAGGTACATACATGTATGCAAACAATTAATTGAGAAATGAGTGAAAAAAAAAATTAATAATTAAAATTCATTTTTATGGAAAATGGTTTTTACCATTAAATTCTACGCCTTTTATAGTGTAGGAAACAATTTTAAAAATTCAAAAAAACTCAAAAAATCAGCGGTAAAAAATTAAGGGGCTTGGTTAATCGACTCCCCAAAATTGGAGATTCGACTCCCAAACCCCAAAACCCCCGAAATTAGGGAGTCAATTCCTCAAAACCGTTGACCGGTTTGGGAGTCAACTCCCTAAGAATTTAATAAAAAAAAAATAAAAACCCCCGGTTGGTTTGGGAGTCGATCCTCCCAAACCGACCAGGGTTTGGGGGTCGATAAACCAAATCAACCCCCACCCCACGGCAGCGGCCGGGAGGATGCCTCCCGGCCGCGAGACCACATTCTTAACGGCCAAGAGGGGAAACCCTCTCGGCTGTTGAGGGTATGTACACCTTCAAAGCCGAGAGGGGGTGGAGACATGCGCGGTGCTAGGTGTACAGGATGGGGACCAACAGGAGATGGCTGAAGGATGTGCGCAGCCGCCGCAGTGACTCGGCCATCGGAGCTCATCTAATGTATGCTGGGGAGGATTTCCAAGTGTGATAGATCGAAGAGAATGCCCACGACGCTCATAAGAGCGAGGGGTGGGAA